GACAGTTTTAATATAATTTCATCCTTCCATTAAACATAGTTATCAAGTAAATTGATAAACTCAAGCAAGTTTCTAAAAGGAAACTACATTCCAAATGTAGCTTATTCACTGAAGGCAGTCACATTCATTATAGTCCAGTTTGGCTATGTTGCTAAGAAATGTCACAGCATCTTTATCATCTCTGTTAGTAAGGAGCATTCTTTCTTGCATTTTTTTTCCTTTTAATCTTTGGGAAGATATAGGGAGACCTTAAGCTTGTTTCCTAAAATATATGTTGTTGTTCAGTCACTTTTTCATCGTGTCAGACTCTTTGTGACCCTATTTGGGGTTTTCTTTGCAGAGATACTAGAGTAGTTTGCCATTTCCTTCTCCAGCTCATTTTACAGATGAGCAAACTGAGGCAAACAGGGTTAAGTGACTTGCCCAGGGTCACACAGCTAGTGAGTGTCTGAGGCCAGATATGAACTCAGGAAGATGAGTCTTCTCGACTCCAGGCCTGGTGCTCTGTACTCTACGGCACCACTTTGCCTCCCCACTAAAATGCATGCTTACAAACAAAAGACGGTCAGATCTATGTTTGTAACAGTAGGTGCCAGTCAAATGCCATTCAGGCCTTGACTATTGAGAAGAGAACCAGTAAGGAACAACTAGAATTTATTCCTCTTGTTCAAGGTTATATTTATGGTCAAATGTTTAAAGGGAATAATAGTTGACACTAAAAATAAGGTTGTAGGCTTTTGTGATTTTCCTTGGTTCATTAGAACAGAGAAACAAGTCCCACCAAAAAGACAAATGCTACTTTCATATGAAATTGGACTTTAGGGTTCTAAGATTATTAATGAGATTATTCATTAAAACTCTCTAATTATTGCAAGCCATTTTCAAATGTTCAGAATGCTATTTGTGGACCAGTGGGAATGAATAATATTAGTCCATATCTAGCTAAATGAGAATATTAGAACTATTTTAGAAACTCTTCTAAACCCTCCAAAATAAATCTGGCAAAATTTCTGGTCTTTTAAAAATAAAGTTGTCCCCATATCTTTTCCTTTCCCCACCTCTGATTCATCTTACCCAAAGAATCAATCCTAATTATGTGCAGATTTTGGAAACAGCAAATCATTTCAGAGAAATTAGTGCAACATACCAAGCATTAGTGGCCAGGCTTCAGTGAGATTGTTTTAGTAAGTCTGATGATCTGTCATCCTCTAAATGATTGTACAACATTACTGTGAAGCGAATAGCAGCCTTCACCCCAAATTTGTGGCATTTGGCGGCATGGTGGCCAGACACGGGGCCGGTGAAGAAGGCGGGACCTGGAGGTCCCTGCTTATCATTTAGACTCGCGTGCATCTTCAGTAAAGCAGCATCCACAGACGGGAGGGTGGGGGTTGCCAGCTGTGCATGGCCGTTGGGAGCAATGATTCAATGAATTGCAGTGGGGGAAATGTACTAATTAGAGCCTAGATACTCTCATTTGTTAGAACATACAAAGTGCCACAGCTCTACACTGTGACCTTGCCCATGCTCTTCTGACTTAGCACCAGCTGTCACCCATCAGCCTGGGATAAGTCATGCATGGTACTTTGCCTAACTTTCCCTCGGATTCAAACAGATGCATTTCGTAGAGTTAGAAGACAGAAATCTCCATTTTCAAATCTTTCTATGATGTCTAATGATACTGTATCATTGCTGATTATAATTAGTGCTCCTGTTTGCCTTCTCAAATTGGTATCTGCCTGTAAAGGACTGCGGAAATCAATGCTGTTGCTTCAGACTCTTCACCCAACCCCCATTTGTCTCATGGCACGGAAGGCATCCAGGTGGCAGGAAGATGGGGTGAGGGTTTTGGTTGGGGGCACTAGAACCATCTGCCTCAGCTCCTTCCTTGCCACAATACATGATGATTTGAAATTCTAAAATCTGAAGAGTGGCCAAAGCATACCCATTTTAAGTACAGACAAAATGCAAGAGGTGAAGGAAAATGAATAAACATTAAATGGAAGTTAAATATGGACAAGGTTTTGTACCCTGACGTACTAAAGGAGAATTCTGAACAAGGGTCAGGGGAAAGTTTTTGTTTACATTAAGTGTTTTTGAATATTTACTTAATGCCACTAAGGCAGACAAATTCACTTAACTCCCCTGCTTTCTTTAATTTGCATCTAAGAATTTAAGTCAATTAGTTTTTGTTTTTGTTTTTTTATTAAGCACATAAAATGTGCCTTGTACTATGGAGAACCCTTGTCCTTGGGAAACTTACAGCCTGGGATAACAGGGTAATAGATTTAAAGCTGGAAAAGGCTTCAGAGGCCCTCATTTTTATACATTCAGAAGCTGAGACCCAGAAAAAATGAATGGCAAACCTGGGATTCGGACCCAAGTTCTCTGACTTAAAATCAAATGCTCTTTCCATTATACTACATTGTCACTGTTTACAGATATGCAACTGTACACTATATACAAAATAAATTCATAATTATTTTAGCAAAGACAGGGCTTTTAACTGGGGCTTTTAGGCAAGGCATCTCGAAGGGTGCTGGAGGTGAAGGAGGAATAGCAGGGAGGTCATTTGGGCTAGATTGTAGCCTGGTAAGGTGGGCTGGAGCCAACATGTGAAGGACTTTAATTCCCAAACACAGATGTATTGATTTTGTCCTAGAGGCAAGAGGGAGCCACATGGTTAGATTTGTGCTTGAGGAATGTCAGTCTGGCATCTGTTTGAAGGAAGTATTAGAAAAGGGAGAGATTGACTCTAGGGAATCCATGAGGAGGCCTCTATGACAATAATCTGTATTTAGGGTGATTGTGGTATGAAGGGAGAGAAGGGAATGGATATGAGAGAAAAATATCCCAATATGAATCTTATTTAAGTAAAGTAAAAATTCAAACCATAATTACTATCAAACAAGCAGCATATAATGCTGGATGGATTGCTACACTAGGAGTCAGGACCACCCAGTAGATGTTAGCTGTGCACCCCTAGACGAGTCACTGAACCTCTCCACCTCAGGAGGTTCCCTTGGATATAACTGTGAAGTCAGGGGAAAGCTAGTTCCTACCATGAAATATGCCCCAAGGTGCTGTGTGATGAGTGGTGGTAGAGAGTGGGGAGGTCACTTAAGGCTGGGCTGGTCAGGGAAGACCCATTTGTGGAATAGCTCACATTTATATAATACAGCTTTCTGTACAAGGAGAGTTCAAATGTTAGCCCCATTTTATAGAAGTGGAAACTAAAGCAGTGACTTACTGTGGGAATGTGAGCAGAGGCTTTTGGCTTCTGAGTCCAAACTTCATTCTCCTGTGCTCCACTTTTATGGAAGTGGAAGGAATGGAGCTGTCTTGAAGGACCAGTAAGAACTCTACAAAACAGATAAGGCAGTGAAACAGCTTGGGCAAAACTAAAGAGACAGAAAAGCAGACAGCTCAAACAGCTCCCTAGTAACAAAGGATGATTCCCACTCAATCTCCATCGGCACAGCTAGTGCCAGTCTGCATGAGTTGAGCCATAATGGGATCCTTGCGGCTGCTGTGTCCCATTTGTGGAATTACTGTTCTTTGGTAAGACCAAAAGAGTAAGTGACTTCTCAGACTTCATGATGTCTTTCAGAGCCAAGGACAGAACAACTTAAACCTGGTATTCTCTGTTGTCTACACCAGTGGTGTCCAATTCAAATAGAAACTGATTCCTGCAGGCCACTTATCTACTTAGAAAAAATACAAATTAACATTATCTATGTTGTATTTTTATTTATTTTGTGCAATGTTTCCCAATCTTGTTTAGATTTCATCCATCATTAGTAGAACATGTACTTTGAATTCCCCATAATGTTGATGGACGTGTGTTGGGCCATCCACAAGCAACCCACAGCATGTATCTGGAGGTATCCAGACATGGTTAAGTCAGGTCGCGATCACTTTCTGTCCACACTATTCTCCTTAGTAACCTTGGCACCATTTCTTCTCACACACACCAGATCCAAGCCTGAGTGCAAGTGAAACGGTTTCCTGTGAATCAGCCCTTGAGGGAAAAAATGTCTTGTGATACCCTCGCACATATCCGCATGTAGATTCATAATGTCACAGACTTAGAACTGGAAGGAACCTTAACACAACATATCTTCTAAATGGAAAAACTGAGGCTTCGTGGGAGGGGGCAGTGTTAAACCCTTAGCAGGCTTACACATGAACCTGTGTCCTCTGACTCCAAATCCAAACCTCAGTTTAAGAACTCAAAAGTAAAAAGAGCTTGGAGCCATAAAATAGGTGCTTTAAAGAATACATTTGCTAGAAAATGTGATTTCTTTTTTTGATGAGGCAACTAGGGTTAAGTAACTTGCCTCGGGTCACACAGCTAGTGTCTAGTGTCTAAGACCAGAATTGAACTCGGGTCCTCCTGACTCCAGGGCCAGTGTTTATCCACCGCACCACCTAGCTGCCCCACCAGGAAATGTAAATGAAGTAAGACTTATGGGAGTCTCATCATAAGATATGAGAACCCATCTTCTCATTTTATAGATTTAGAAAATGAGACCCAGATAGGACTCATGGTGATATACGTCATTGATGTCAGACCTGAGCCCTGCAAGCTGCATGGTGACTGAGAAAATCACAAATTAACATTATCTAGGTTGTACTGAATTTTTATTTGGTTTAAACATCTCTTTGTTACACTTCAATCTTTTTCAGAAAGATAATTTTTGCATTGTAAATTTGAACTTGAGGTTTATAATAGCTGTTGTGACTGACTTTATTAATCTATATTTCAATTAATCATACTCTACTTTGTAGCTTTTCTTCCCCATTTCATACAGGTAACAGGATTGTTAAGTGTAGTTGTAGCCTTCTCCCCTTCCTCCATCCAAGAACAAACTGGTCAAATTTAATCAGGCAGAATTGTGTAATTTACTTAAAAAAAAAAAAATCCGTGGATGTCTGTTTGCATTTTACCTTGAAGTATGACTATTCACTTCCTTTTCCCCTTTGTCTTTCTCTTGTAGCTGGTGAGTGACTTGTTGGAATTCTGCTTCTATACCTTCCGAGAGTCACAGGCCCTGAAAGTGGAGTTCCCAGCCATGCTGGTGGAGATCATCAGTGACCAGCTACCAAAGGTGGAGTCGGGGAATGCCAAGCCCTTGTATTTCCACAGGAAGTGACGGAAAATGTCTTAATGGAAGAACTTTGCCTTAAGTTTCCCCGTGTTATTCCACACCCACGAAGGACCCGAGAAATCACATTTTTAACATGCGATGATTCACAGTTTTTCAAGTTTAAAATCACGTCAAGGGTTTGGGGACTGGAAAGCAGTTCGACATGGATTTGGCAAGAACCAGATGATTTAAGAGCTCTTCTCCTTACCCTTAGTGCTTAGAAAATGATCCCGTTCCTCTGGATGAAAAGCCATATCTAGTCAATAACTCTTTGATTTTGATATTTTAACAGATGGAAGTTTTAAATATGCCATGTAGTTTCTGGTATTGTTTGCTTGTTGTAAAAGGGTTCAAGGACTAATGAACTTTTTAAAGCTTACCCTTGGTTTGCACATAAAACGTACAGTCAAATATGGGGCATTAATATTCTTTTCTTATTTAAAAAAAAAAACAAAAAAGAAAAAATATATACAGACTCCTCTTGTGTAATAATGGAACATTTGGTGTGGAATAATGGCCTCCCCACCTGGAGCATTTGTTCTCCCATGTTATCCTCCATCACTAGTGGACGCACCCTTCAGTGTCCATTTATTATTTAATTAAATGGATAAGATGTTAAAACAAATGCCTCAGTTTCAATTTATATTATCTATTGTGCTGGCTTTA